GAAGATAATAATATAATAATAGATACTATATATAATATATTATTTAGTATAGATAAGCTAGAAGGCCCGGCGTGGGATAGCAACTAGCTAAAAGTCGTGTTAGACGTATCTATTTTTATATATATAGCCTCTTCTACTAGCTATAGCTACTAAAATATTAATAAATAATAAAATAGTTACTATAGCAACGCTTTTACTTTTACTATAAAGAAGAGACTAGCTATACCGCTTCCTAATCCGGCTAAAAATCTAAGGTTTACTATGGATTCACCTTTAAATAAGGCTATTGCAGAGGCACGTGACCTCCTAGTTAAAGCTGCGGCTGCTAAACCAGACCGCCTAAAATAGGACCAAATACTTGATTTAATTGAAATCTTCTGTGAATACCTCGAAAAAGGCTCTATCAAGAAGGTTTTAGCCATTCTAGCTAATAAGATCACGTATATGGAATCTGCTAGTTAAAAGCTAGAAGCCACCGCCTGGCAAATTGCCCTAAAACCGACTACCCGCCTGCAAGTTAACCTGAAAGGGCCTAGCGCAGCCGTCTTAAACCGCCTAAACAGGCCGAAAATCGCTCCCTAGCTGAAAACCACTTAAAATCGGATATATGCAGCTGCAGCTGAGTCTGCTAACCCTGATTCGGACTAGATTTTAGTCAATTCTGCTAAAAAGTCCTTACCGCTAAAGCTAGCCATAAAGAAGCCTCTTACCAGCCGCCGCGTGATCCTAATTAAGGATACTATAGTCCAAAACGACAATTTTCAGCCTCTTACTGCCTGCAATGCTCTAAATAGAGCTTTTGCTAGTAAAGGAGTGAAAGACCCTATAGTGCTTTTAGTATCTAAGTCCCTTTAGGCTAATCTAGTGGTTACAACTATAGAGGCTTACTTAGCTGACTTCCTACTTGCTAAAACTGATATCTGGATGCATTTAATACTAGGCTACACCGCCTAGAAAGATATTACATAGCATAAAATCATTGCCCACGGGATCCCCACTTCCGTTTTTAACTGTCTGGAAGGCATAGAGCTAGTTAAGGACGAAATACGGACTTTTAATAAGGGTCTAACCCCTTTAGGATAGCTATACTGGATCACATTAGCCGAAAATCGCCTAAAATAGACAGCTGGATCTATGGCAATTGCATTTGCTACGCCTGAAGAGGCTAGCGCGGCCGTCCGAAATAGGCTATATATAGCTGGCATTTCTATATAATGCGAAAAACACTATATGACACGTCCCACCGCCTAATGCATTAGGTGTTAAGCCTATAAACACTTATCACACTACTGCTATAAAGAGGCTAAGTGCTAGCTATATAGGGAAAAACATCAGATAAAATAGCATACATGCTCTATATGTAATGCTAAGGGTAGATATGATCACCTAACATATAAATGCGCCAATTGCAGAGGTCCACATGCGGCTAGCTCCGCTCTATATAAAGTCTATTAGAGTATCCACTTAAAGGCTCCCATGTCCTCTCTATGATAGATGCTAGCACTAAAATCCTCTAAGTAAATCTGAATTCAGCTGCCTATAATATAGAATCCGCGCTATAAGTAGCAATTAAGCTAGATATAGATATTATACTAGTTTAAGAGCCCTTTATTATACGTGATGCAGATGAAATACGATTGATTTCCTACCTCTTATTCACCTAACTCTTCCTAAATAGGCCTAGCCTAGACATTACACCACGCACAATGGCTTATATTGCCAGGTCATACCGCTCTAGGGTTGTCCTAGCCTCGGATTTGCTAAACGATTCAGACTTTTAAGCCCTAGACGTTATAGATTAAGATCATGTGATTAAGATTTATAATATTTACAACAAAAAGCACTAATTACCCGATTTAGACACCCATACGCTAGCCTAATGCCTATAGCAGCTCTTACTGCCTCTTAATTTAGTCTTTTGCGGAGACTTTAATGCCTATAACCCGTGGTGGGACCCCCTATATAAGGCATGTGACGAAGAAGGCAATACGCTAGTAGACTGGATCGACTACTATGATTTAGCCCTCTTAAATACCCCTAGTATTAGCACCTTCTATTGTCTGCATATGGCTAGGCCGATAAATATCAACCTTACGCTAGCGCATTGATCTATAGCTAATCATATTTAGGACTGGGCTATAGTAGATGATATAGGCTTGGACTATTTTAGGATTATATTTACTATTAACGGTTCCTGAATAGGACTAGCGGATCTATAAACTACCCGTTTTGATATAAAACGGGCAGATTGGACTAAATTTAGGGAAAAACTTTTCTGCTAGCTATTACTGCTCTAAAATAAGCTATAGGCCTATAGCTACATTTTAACCTCTAATTTAAGCTTAAAAAGCTTAGAACAAATTAACGTAAAACGCAGCTATAAAGTAACCCTAGACCGTCTAGATGATATGGCGGAACGTTATACTAGCGCTATTTTATACGCTGCATATATTGCTATACCCTAAATCCAGTTAGCGCTATATGCTAAGCCTTAGTGGAACGATTTACTAAAATTACTTTGATGCGATATGAATCGGACTAGAGAGGCCTCTAAGTGAGCATTTTCTAGCTAATTAAATGAGCGCTATACTAGCGCCTGTAGTATATACTTCCAGGCTATTAAAATAGCGAAAAAGGATTACTAGAACTAGTTCTTAAAGAAAAAGGATTCTAAATCGATTTTTAAAGCCCTAGCCTATATAAAGTTAAGGCGGTTAGAGCTAGTCCTAAATCTAAAGCTTTCTACCACCTAATTTATAACTATATTTACTGCTAAATATAACCTTTTCCGCTAGACGCTTTTCCCTCTACCTCCTAAAACAGCTAGCCTAAATTAGACGTTATATACCGCCTTAGACTAGTAGTAGTAGCTAAAGCTAGCACTAGATAAAGTGAAATAAGCCTATTCTAGTAAAATCAAATCTACTAGCCCTAGCCCGGACTATATTACCTAGACTATTATTACCCACGTATATTTAGCATACCCTTCCTAGATTTTACTTCTTTTTAAGATGCTAGTAAATACTAGCTATTATCTGAAGTGCTAGCGCCAAGCAAATTGCGCTATACTACGAAAAAATAATAAGCTAGACTATAAACAGCCTAGCGCGTATTGGCCGATTTCACTTCTAAATTGCCTAGGTAAAGTGAGTGAAAGGATCCTAGCTAAGCGACTAGCTTACTTAGCTGAAACCACACTAAATCTGCTGCATCCTAGCTAAATCAGTGGCCGACTTAAAAAGTCGGCTATAGACGTAGGCGCTATGCTAGCGGATTATGTCCATACGAATCAGCTACGAAATAAAATTACTAGTACGCTTCTACTAGACGTAAAAGGGGCATATAACTACGTATCCAAGAACTGGCTACTTACAATTCTTAAGGATTTAGCCTTTCCCGATTCGGTTATTAAGTGGGTCTCATCCTTTATAAGCGGGCGGTCACTTAAGCTTCTATTTAACGGATAATCGGATAAAAACCAGCCTATTTAGACCGGAATCCTATAAGGAAGTCCGATTTCGCCTATCCTTTTTCTGATCTATATATAAGGCCTATTTAGGTCACGTGCAGTCAAATTTATCTCTTATGTAGACGATATTACTCTCTCTTATATATTAACTAGCCCCTATAAAAACGTTAAGATACTGCAGCTAGTAGCTAAAGAGCTATTTTAGCTAGCTAGTAAAAACGTAATCTAATTTGACCTGAAAAAGTCTAAACTAATTCACTTTAGTACAGGCAAATGCGCTAAGCTAGCGTCTCTTATACTCCTAGATAGGACTATAGTCCTCCTAAAGCAGATAGTTAAGTGGCTTAGCATTTACTTTAATGCTCTATTATAATTTAAGGAGCATATTACTATCCGTACTACTAAGGCTAAGTCTATATTTAGATGTATATCCAGGCTAGCTAATAGCAAATAAGGGCTTAGTCCTACTACTTTTAGATAGCTATACCTAGCTTGTATTACTAGCATATCTGACTATATATTACTAATTTAGTAGCAAGGCTAAGCATATATAAAAGACTACTTATAGCACCTCTAGAATTTAGCACTATGCAAAATCCTAGGCACTTTTTAGACTAGTCTAATTCAGGCCATGGAAGTTGAAGCTAGCCTCTCACCGCCTGTAATATAACTAGATATAGCCACCCGCAAATACGCTTTTCAGCTAGCTAAGCTAAGTCCAGACTACCTAGTAAATCGCTAAATTGCCAAATCTAGCCATTTAGGATACGGACTTTAGATGATTACTAGAACTATTACACCTCTACTTAGTAGCAAAATCAAACCTATATACCACTTCTACTTTACCCCATAGGACCACTCTATCCCCTAGGACATATAAATCGCTAAATTGCTAAAAGAGGAAACTGCTATAGCACACCGCCGCTAAATGCGGACATAGCTACTAAATCAGGTATTATACTACTCAGACGGGTCTATTTATTTATTTA